ATGTACGACAACAAAAAGCCGCAAAACAAGAAACCAGTTTGGTAGCCGAACGTCGTGGGCATGTGCAAACTGCAAACAATCACCTGACAGGTCATGTGATCGGGCAATTCCCCTTTATTCGTGACTCACGATTGTACAGTGCACATGCGCAAAGTGTTCAGTATTAGTAACGCCGAACATTTTACGGCTGATCGCTGTCACACAGCAAACTAATGCAAAATCACTCGAAGTTGGGTATTTATATTTAATTTCTTGAGTCGTACTTTATTAGTCCCCGTTCGGATGCAGTCTGAAAACAGGGACTTATGTTTTGACCTCCGTGGGTACAATCAAACTTCACACACACATGATCATACATGATATTATACATATGCACATCAATTTCACGATCTGATTCAAGATGGCTGAATGGTGGCCATTTTTGATATAAAAATCAAGCATTTCTCGGCTGTTTACCGATGGATTTTGTTCTAACTTGGTATATACGTTGGACATTATAGGACCTTGATGCACATTATTTTTTTTCAGAAAAACATTCAAAATGGCCGACTGTGGTTCTAGTGCCATATCTCTGACCTGCTGTGACTGATTATGTTCAAATTTTAAATATTCATTATAAATCATGTCATAAATATACAGATATATTGGTTTGACGATCCTATTAAAAATGGCCGAATGGTGGCCATTTTTGTGCTAAAAAATCTTCAAATATTAAGCATTTCTGGTATTTATGGATGGATTTTGTTCAAACTTTGTACATACATTAGACATGTCGGGTTCCTGATGCACATTATTTTTTAGATTGGATTCAGAATGGCTGACTAGTGGCATTTTTGTTTTATCTAGAGACATATCTCTGACTGAGCTTCGACTGACTATGTTCAAATTTTATATATTCATTATACATGTATTCAAAATGGCTGATTTTGTTTTAATTAATGCTGTTCCAGAGCAATATCTCTCAATACTTGTTTGATACATTTCTCTTAATTGTTACAAAGCAATGATTTTTGTTTCTACAAAGCAATGGAATAGTCTACCCCTCGTTCCTTGTGGCCTAACATCAAAGGCATACAACCTCCGTTGTTTTGATTTACTGTCACGTAGGTGTGTATGTAACTTTATTGCATCTACAACGGTCATTGGAGTGTCTAGTGAAGTGCCTTGGGATGTTGCAAAGTCCCTCGGTAATTGGCTACCGGGTGCGGGAGCTAGGTGTATGTAAATATCTTGCGCCAGCTGTAATAGTGGGGATTAACTGGGGTCAATTGGACCAGGGCGGGCTACCCAACGGGAAAACAAATAAGACATACATAACATGCCGGACTATATTCTTTACCTTGAAGTTATATAAAGCGACACGAACTGCAATAATCACAATATCACGAGTGCAGAATCACATTGACTTCACTAAAATGATTGAAAAACAGCAAAACCTTGCAAGATATTTTCAGCAAAACAAAAACAAACATTTCAAGATGGCAGCCAAACACGAAACAAAGAATGCATCACCAGTTTTCCCATTTTTTACATTTGTGATTCTGTCCTATTTTTTAATCAATTGCCTCACCTAATTATGAATTTTGATGGGAAAACAAATAAATATTAAAACAGTGTATGATCCTCAAACTGAAAAATACCATATAAACATTTGCATCCTCTCTCGTTTGACCCGGGAGACCCTGACCGCCGGTGTCTTGTTTCATTTGCATCTGATAGGTTTCACACATCAGAATCATAGTACTAAATTGTGTCTTACCTCTCTGGAGATTTGTCACAACATTTTCTAGCACTCTTCTTTTCCATTTTTGTAATATGGGATTTGACATTGTCAAACACATTGCCAAAACTATTTCCATCACTGTTGTACAGGAATCGGTGATTTCGAAGTAACGCCATAACGATTGTATCGATAAGGAGAATGAAACAAGTCGAGGAATTCTCTCAATAAAGAGGCATGACTATCATTGTTCACCAGATAAAGCAATTTGCATGTCAGTATTATCATTGTTGTATAATAAATACCACCCGTACTCACTACAAATACCCACCCTTACTCACTACAAACACCACCCGTACTCACTACAAACACCACCCTTACTCACTACAAATACCCACCCTTACTCACTACAAACACCACCCTTACTCACTACAAATACCACCCGTACTCACTACAAATACCACCCGTACTCACT